TCCCCAATATATATGAAGGTACTACAAAAAAATCCATGGAAAAATATAATTAAAAGATAATATGAATTTTCCCATGTTTTTTTTTGTGACTGGTAAGGGGATCCGAACCCTTGGCTTGGTGTTGCCTGCACCGCACTCAGCCCGTGAGTGCACCGGCCATCCCTATATAGGATCCGAACCCGTGGCCTCGGCACTCCCAGCACCACTGCGCTCCCAGCGCCGCACTCTACCGAGTGAGCCATGGGGTCGGCCTTCCCATGAACTTTTTGAAGTATACTCATATATACATTCGATAACTGGGGAAAAAAATATGTATATATATGTTCTCTTCTCACTATTAACTTCCCCTACTCTAATAATGAATGGTAAAAGCCTGAGGACACATCAACTGACCAGTCTCTCAGTTCTAATGACCCTGACTGATACTGTGAGTTCAGAGCATTACAAAACAGCAGTAGCACATTGCATGGGGAATGACAGTATACTACAGACAGTGCACTACAGTCAGTACTCCACAACCTGGTAGTAAAAGCGGCCTCCAACACCCAGTGATAGCTCACTAAGTAACACACACCAAATGAAAGCTTTTGGATATTTATAAGGAAGGGATTAATTCATCTTCAAAAGTAGCATTTTAATTAAAAATGACTTTTCTGGGCTTATATCCAGAAAGGAACATATTGCCAAAAGGTAAGATTTAACAAGGTTTAGTTCTTTCTTTAATTTTTTTTCTAAGAACCCAGCACTTCCCAATCCTTTTCACGTCAAGGCACACATAGGAAATAATCTTTCTTTGGCCCTCTGGGATAAAACAGATGACGCTGTTCCCAGCTGCAGGTGACTGCCTGGAGTCTCCAGCCCCACCAGGCTACAGTCAGACTCACCGAGAGCTGAAGGAATTGATAAATACCTTGACATCTCTATAGTCGTGCCATTGGAGAAGCTCTGCTCTTGCCCTTCTTGGACTGGGGACCTTCCTCGCAACTCAGATTTTTCTCCTTTCACACTAATACAAGTCCTCAAAAAGCAAGGGTGAAACCGGCCACTAGTAACAAGAGTGAACATTTTCTTTGAATTATGACTCACTCCAGAAAAAAAGCACACTAACCAGTGATCCATTCATAACTTACAACATCAGAATAATTTCATGCTTTTGTTTTTGATTTTCCACTGTGAAATTATATTTTGGGGGCATAAAATAACAATGGAAACAGGCCAACATCTTAGGTCACCAAATGGAATCTATCAGGTAACAATCCAAAAAACAAAATCAAATTCTTACTTCGAATGGTATACCTTTCCTTATGAAACACCAAAATGTGAGTTAAGTACCCAAGAATCAGAAGAAATCTTTCCTCATGATTACTGGCCAAACTCTTCCTCAATAGAAGAGAATTTGCTGAACTTGAATATGATTTCTCTAGAGCGATACGTAACCTAGTAATAATGTTAAGTCCCCAACATGAAAAATTTGGCAACAAAAACAGATGGTTAATTCTACTTAAAAGACATGGCAGCCCAGCCAGTGTTGTTCCCAAATGAGGTAATGTCCATGGCTGTTATCTAACTTCTACGGAGATTTAATGTCATTTACCCCCAGCTCTGATGAACCTGCTACATAATCTCACCTTTTCTAATTTGTGTTACTTCCATCCATTTCAACATTGTAATTATGAACCTCTGGTTTTAAAAATGATTAAGAAACGAATCCCACATGTCCTTTCTTTTTTTTTTTTTTTCCCCCATGTACTATACTTTGAGTCTTTCTTCCATAGTCCCAGAAAACTCAGAGATCAGCATATTTCTTGTTTCCAAGGTATACTACAGAAATACTCTTAGGTTTTGATATATTTATGTAAACACTTTCAAAGAAGTCAAAATGTATAATTCCAGAAAATGTTCTGTGAAAGAATTTGTTTTCTGATCACAAAATGATTTCCTGCTTTTGAAAAAATAACAATTTGATATTTACTTAGCTGGCTATGAAGGTCCCATGGAGATCATTCCTTTCAATCCCTAGCATCTAATTCCAGGTGCAGGCCTTTTACTGATTTCAAAGGTAGCTTTATGTGGAGAAGGTATCTATAAGTAGAAAGGAAAAAGAGCCCTTCCTGACTTAACCTCTTACACTTATCCCATAAAGAACCACAGGTAAAACAGAACTATTACAACACAGATGTGACACCCAGTGGACATGACAGAAAGACTTTTCACATACCTTTGACTTTCTTTTTTCAACCAGGGTAAACCAACCTTAATAAAGACAGGAATCTGTTTGACAAACAAAAACACACTATCTAACACCCACATTAATGACTTGTTTTCAACAAGTCCTTTGTCTCACCAACACATAGGAACAAGAGCAACAGCCACAACCACCCGAGATTTTTAGGGTTTTCCCCTTTCCATAGGGTTTTATATTTTATCTAGTGGAAAAAGTAAGAGAATACCAAAGGCAGCCCAGAGACAGAGCAAAAGAACATGTTTTGTTGCTGGGCAGACCAGTGAGACACAGACAGACCTGCCAGGCGTGTGTATGGGAAACTAGGCTGGGAGGCCCATTTGTACAACTGGTGAAAGAGCCCAAGAAGCAACTGCAACTATATTACTACTGGCAAGTTCAGCCAAGAGTGGATCTCCAACAAAGAAAATCTGTGGCTGATCCCCTTGCCACTCTGGGCCTGCCTTCTAACTCAGCTGTGGCTTCCACTATGAAAAGCCTATTCTACGTTACCCATGACTGCCAGTTCTTTCCTTCAAAGCAGCATCAGAGTCCGACAGAATCAAGAGATCTAACTTGTATGACTAACGCAAATGATGATCTTTGGGCCTCAGCAGCCCATCTTCAAAACCAAGATAGTAAACCCACCACTCTCTTCATCACAGGGATGTTGTATGGACCCAAAACGAGTGCTTACGAGTTTATACTGAAGAAATCACCAAAGACCCATGATGTATATCATAGACATCAGACAATCTCAAAGTGCAGTCTGGGACCTGTGGGGGTATGTGCAATCTTTTCCAGGAGACCTGCAACATCGAACTATTTTCAGAATGATGCTAAGATGTTAGTTTTCTCCTTTACACTCATTCTCTCATGAATGCAGAGTGGAGTTTGTCAGAAGCTATAAGATGTGTGCTGAAGTCACCACTTTGATGATTAATGGAGTGTGTGCTTTAAAGTACTTATTTTTAATATTTTCTCAGTTTTATTTTCTAATTAAATATTGACAGGCAAAAGCTTTTTGGAACCCTTAATGATTTTTAACTGTAAAGAGGTTCTGAGACTAATTTGAGAAACACCCACCTAGAACTTCAGTCCTACCCAAACTCGCAGTTTCCAGGTGGGCTGCCCACCAGGGCCTTGCTCTGTGCTGCTCTCTAGGCATGGGAGACTCCTTCCCTCCCTGCATTTGGCTAACCTCTTTCAGTCTCTGCTCAGATGTTACTTTCTCTGGGATACTTACCCCAATTTTCCCAAGACTAGTCAGGTGGCCCTGTTATATGCTCACCCAGCTCTTAGCACACTACATTGTTATTCCCTATTTTCTGGTCTGTTTTTTGTTCTTGACTCCTTCAAGGCAAGGACTGACTTAGTCATTATTCTGACCATGAAACAGTAGTACATAGTAGGCATTCAATAAATACTTGTTGAATATATAAAACAACCAAGGAAGGAAGGTAGGAAGATAGGTCTACCTTGCATTCCCGCCTAGGGGGAATTAGTTACTAAAAATAATAGTTTTCATTTTAGTACAGGCTCATTAAAATTATGATAATAATAACATTAATGACTACCTTTATATCTTATTATGAACCAGGCACTATTCCAAGCACTTTATATGCATTAATCCATTTAGTCTTCACAAAATCCCTATGAGGTATATGCACACTACTATTATCCTCATTTCAAAAATGAAGACACAGGGCCGGCCCGGTGGCGCACTGCTACAGTGCGCCGCTTGGGAAGTGCGGCAGCGCTCCCGCCGAGGGTTCGGATCCCACATACAGACCGGCTGCTCACTGGCTGAGCGAGGTGCGGGAGCAACACCAAGGGTTGCGATCCCGTTGCCGGTCCCAGCCCGGTACGGGCGCGACACTGAGGGTTGTGATCCGTTGCCGGTCACGAAAAAAGACAAAAAAAAAACACAAAAACAAAAATGAAGACACAGATGTACAAATGGTGAGGGGTGGGTTTGAGATTCATGCCCAGGCTGTCTGGCTCCACAGTGCCATGCCATTACCTCTACACATTGCCTCCCATGTCAGCAGTGTAGACCTCAGGCTTATAACATGTAATGGGATCTCAAGGCCTTCTCTCAACTCTGCTCATAAACCAGGAACATGATCTGACATTTAAGTCCCACCTCTAGCCCTGCCCCTGTGTGAGTGACCACATAAGCCATGTGTACAGAAGATCTCACCAATATCACTTGTTCCCTAGTTGGGTTTTAAATAGGGCGTTCCAATAATAAGTCTAATTCGCATTCATTTGTTGTACTTTAGTCTTTTCTAGAAGAAATGTTAAGTTAAAAAAATAAACTTGTATATTTACCCAAAATAAAAAGTTTCTTCTGTAGCACAGAGAAAGCTGGAGAGAAAGGCTTGATATCTCCATGTACTATAGTGTTGTGCTATAGAGCAAACTCTACCTGATGTGTACAACTCTGCCTGTGCCTCTTGGGCTACACTCTTTCTCAAGGAATGCTCACAGATTCACCCTAATCAGGGAGTGTCCCTCAAATGTTCTGCATGCATACTTGATGGAAAAGAAAAAAGTTTATCAGAGAGCTAAGTCCAAATGGGAAAGTACATTATAGAAAACATAGGACGTAATGCAAAAGATAATATGACAGAATCCAGTGTAACACTGTACTCATGCTTGGGATGAAAAAAGTATACCTGATTTTTCAGCAGTAGAAAAATGCTCCACAGGTAAAGTTAAAAGCCTCTGTATCAAATCCTCACCTGTTTGAGAGAAGTCATGCAAAGTAACTTACCTGGAGAAGTGTCCCATGAATACAGTTTTGCCGGAAACACTGGTCAGTGCAGTTAGGGAGTGTGGCCAACAGAGTTCGGATGGTATTAGGAATTTGGTCTATCATAACAAACGGGACCAAGGCACGAGCTGCCATTTCACGGGAGCGGTAGACAGGAGAGTGACCACACCTGGCAAGAAATAAGGACACAAGACCATTCAATACTCACCTCCACATCTGTGCCTGTGTATATACTGATGGTCTATTAACTCTAACTGTAATATCCAAGCTGGGGGTTGGGGTGGGATGGGACAGGAGGCAGGAGCTGCTCCTTATTCCAAATGATGTTTTTCATACTTCCCTAATTCCAAATAATGTTTTTTGTATTTGCATTAGTTCTACAGGTGACATTGCTTTTGTTAAAAACATCATTAATCAGCATCTATAATTCTATTACAGAGATTAAATGCATATAGGTTTTGGGAATGAGACAGTAAACAAGTAGTAGCAAAAAACAGCTTACTCCTCAACAATCAAATGACTACTTATCGGGCATTTACAGTGAGCAAAAGCACCATGATAAGTGCCATGAAAAATAAGATAGTCACCATTGTCTTTGAAGAGCGCATATACTCTGATTGTCAAGATAAGAAGTACATTTGAAAAGATGACAAAAAAGCATAAGACAGTACAAGAAAAATGATAAGCAAGTGATCCTGACATATGGCTACGGGAAGTCAGAGGAGGAAGGATGAAACTCAGGAAAGCAAGCATGATTCAAGTAGGCCAAAATAAACCAGAAAATCATTTCAGCCAGTGACAGTGGTATAAAGCAAGGGTAGAAATGTTCAAGGTATAGATAGATGTGCCTGGTTAAAGTAAAGGCTCGTGAATAACAGCAGAAATTAAGGTTGAGAAGTGGGTCAGGCCATACTGGGGGGGAGAGGTGGTGCCACAAATGACACGCTCCATGGACTAAACTTATCGTTAAGAGAACAGATGAGGGCCGACCCCGTGGCACACTCAGGAGAGGGCGGCACTCCCGCTGTGGGTTCAGATCCTATATAGGGACGGCCGGTTGCTATCCCCTTACCGGTAACAAAAAAGACAAAAAATAAATAAATAAATAAATAAATAAATGGCACTCCCGCTGTGGGTTCAGATCCTATATAGGGACGGCCGGTTGCTATCCCCTTACCGGTCACAAAAAAGACAAAAAATAAATAAATAAATAAATAAATAATAAATTCATCTAATTCTTTTTTTTTTTTCCTTTTTGTCTTTTTTCGTGACCGGCAACAGATCGCAACCCTCAGTGTCGCGCCCGTACCGGACCGGGACCGGCAATCGGATCGCAACCCTCAGTGTTGCGCCCGCACCTCGCTCAGCCAGTGAGTAGCCGGTCTGTATGTGGGATCCAAACCCTCGGCGGGAGCGCCACCACACTCCCAAGCGGCACACTGTAGCAGTGCGCCACCGGGCCGGCCCAAAATTCATCTAATTCTTAAAAAAAAAAAAAAAAAAAAAGAACAGATGAAACTTCACGTCACCCAATCCTTCCCTTTGGGCTGACTCACACCCAAAGAGCTAGAATAAAAGCCAGTTCTTAAATAAATGAAAGTCATGGATAAGTGGTACTTTGAGATTCTACAAAAGTCACTGGAAAGGCAGGTCATCTAAGGGGCTCTTGATATGTAAACACTCAGAACCTAAGAGGCCACAACCATTTTGTTAAAATTGTGCACTTGAGACCCTTCACAGATATAGGATTGATGGAGGAGAAAGTCCAATATGGTAAGTCCAAGCTTAAATAAGTTCTTTATTAGAACTCTCAAGACTTCATAATCTTTCATCCAATTAAAAAAGTAACTTATCTTACAGAAATGTATTAGATGCCAGGAAAAGGATAGGCAAGATCAGAATATGGTAGGCTATAGAGAAAAGAGATAGCCTCTTGACTTTTCTCAAAATTAATCAGTGTTTGTTCCAAGAAGGAACTACTGCTAAGATGTGGGCCATTAGGGCCATGTGGCCATGTAGGCTTAGCATATAGTGGGACAGAGCCCTAGGATCAAAATGTTTCCAACATCCCAGAGGTAACATCAACATTTATCTTAATATGACAATAAAAGTATAGATACAATTTCTGTACAAATGAAATGATCTGAGCAGAATTTCATCATGGGGGTGGTGGGGAGGAGGAGGTAGGTAGAGAAGAGAAAGAGGTACGGGGTAAGTGAAAACATCGTGTCATTTTCCCCCCAAGAGGGTAGGTCATCAGGTAGATCCATCAGCACATAGTTTCAGGATGGAGACGCGCTTCCCTCACATCATACTATGGGAAGACATTGAGGGCTAAGGTTACAGTAGGTAGTTAGAGAGTTCCCATTGGCCTTTGACTAGGTTCTGACAACTCACCTATCTTCTCACTTATTTTTCCTTTAAAACGATTGAATGTTTAATCTGTAATTGACAGACAGTAAAGTGTTTGTTTTGCCCTATGGGACATTGGAGGTGGGGAGAAAACTTCATTTGACAAAAGAAAATACTCTGAAAATGCTCTGAGATTTAATTAACAAATGACCTCACTCAACACAGCATAGTCATCTGTTGGAAGCTTCCCTATCTGTCTGTCCCCCACCCCTCCAACAACACACACTTTGTGTTATAGTGTGTTTTATGTTACTGAAAGGGCTCTTGTATATAAATGTTTCTTTTCAAATACAAATAACTCTGACATGGTTACAGATGTTTAGTTTCCAATTAGCAGTAACTGTATACTAAAGAATGCCCCTCCTTTTGCTCCCGAACTTTTGAAAATGATGATTTCCCAAAGGAATCCGGCATCCACACAGGAGAAAGAATAGAAAGTAGGAAAAGTGCCAGAATTTTCTGCTTTCAGATACCCTGTGTTAGGGTACTTTCCAAATGCATACAACCAGGTTAAAAAGCAAAACAAAACGTCTCCTCAAAAAAGTAATGCAATTACCAAAAAAACAGAAGCCAGTTTTTAAAGCAATATTTAATTAAGTAGCATTCATTACAAAGCAATGATTAAAAGTAATTTCAAACTCCTTTCTATTGCAAATTGTTTAAATATAAGGATAGATTATAGCCAAATTTACACACACACACACACACACACAAAATCACTAAGCAAAAAAAATTTCCAGTTACTGTTTTATCAGCTATTAGGGGCAGGGAGTAGATCTAATGAAAAACTTTAGAATCTAGTGGCTATAAGGATAGAAAATTAGAACACATGAGTTTTCATTCTCCTTTGGACACTGAGTTTTTTGAATTGGACAAGTCATAGTAATCTCTCTGAGTCTCAGTCTAGTTGAGAGTGGTGGCAATAATTTATACCCAGTGCTTCAATGTGATATCTAAGAGAACATTCTAAGAAGAAAGGTGTTCTGTAAATACAAAGTTTTTAGTGCACTGCGCCAGTGTCTAGTATAGTATCTACCAGCTACCAGCATATTCTAGGAATTGCAGGCCCCTCAGGGGCCTCAATGAGAGGATTAAGACGCACATGCTGTGACTAAGTGAATCACTGTGCAGTGACACACTGTACCCCACAAATATATAAATGCTTAAAAAAAAAGACTATGGGGTGAATTCTGTACTATTTCAAAAAGGTAAAACAACAAATCGATGATATCTAGGCAAAGAGGTCCTTTTTTGGCTTGCATTAAAAGTGATTCTCAACACCAAGGTCAAGGGTTCAGAGTCCCATATAGGTGAGCCACCAAAAAAACAAAACTGATTCTCGAGAAAAAGTCTCAAACCCTTCTGAAAGAAGTGGGACAGCCTCTAAGTACCAATTTCTTTCTGTGAAATAAAACAAATACATTTGGGGTCTCAAAGGTCATTTCTGCTTTTGACATTCTTTGAAAATCATTTCCTCCATAGCCTTAGCTGTGCTCTAAGTCTGAATACTAGATCTTTTGCAGAAACACAGTCACTAACATCTTTTAGCCTCTATCCCCTTCCACTCCAATATACCCTTTCCATGTTCATTTTAATCACATATTTATTGACTGCCTGCTGTGTTCTCAGCACTGTATGACATGAGAAATGACATATTTGTAATAGTAATACCTGCATCCTGCAATGGTACAGCCCTTGGCAGTTTATAAAGTGTCTGCACACCTGTGATCTCTTTACTACACAACATTCCTGTAAGACAAGAGGGCATTATAAACCTAAATTAACAGATGAGAAATAAAATGAAGATCAGAAAGGTTATATGGATTCTCAGGAGGTATAAGCAACCATTGCCCAGGCCAGAACTGTGATCCAGGGCTCCAGGATAGAGCTCTTTATCTACCTAAACCTGTAGCTCACAACCGGAAACCACATACTGGGCTAGGTACCAGAGAATCAGAGAGAAATGTCACTGCCTAGGCCACAAGGAACCTACAGTCTAGTGGGAAAGATAGAAAAAGCAGCCAGTGATTCTCAGAGTCATGAGAAGTAAACACAAGCTGTGTAGGTGGGACACCCAGCAGGAAGATGGGTAATCTAGGAAATCATGTGGGGTCGGGCAGAGAACACCTGTGTTGGGAAAATGGTCAGGCTCCCCTTGCCTCTGAGCCGGTTCAGGGTGATTCGGTAAACACTGTGTGTTTGGGTGGAGTAAGTGCACCTGCAAGGCAGCGCCACTTTGGCTGGTGTTTTACTGCCTTGGGCACCCACCCTGCACAGCCATGTTTTTTCCAGACCTGCAGCTTCCAAGGACGATGTGGCTGGTTGCCTAGCTCAGAGACCTGAGTGAAGGGGTCTGGTGACCCAGCCCAGCATGTGAAGGGTTTGTGAATGGGGTTGAGCGGTCTAGGAGCTCCAGAGCCAGCCCAGGCTCAACCATCGGCCCAGTCAGTGTAGGATTACCGGCAGGTGAAAGAGCCCAACAACTAGTGTGGTCGCCTAGCTTTACAACTGGCATCATGAACAGGATTAACAGCTAGACGATTGGCGCTGTGAGCAGGATACCCAACATCAGCCTTAGCCCTAGCCTCACAGTAGCCAGACAACCTGAGTTTGGCAAGAGGTACTTCTTCAAGCCTGTAACTTTCCTTACTTAACCCAAATTGCCCCTCAG